AGTTATGTATAAAATGCATACACCTTTTAAATGCAACTGACCCATTTATTAGCATGAATATTTTAAACATCCAGCAAGTATGCCTATTCCTTCAAAGAAAGGCATCCTTCCTGTCCACCATGGTATCTTTCCCCTCTCCAACATGCATTCTTAACGCAAAAAAGGGTAGGGAGTTCATTTTTACAAACTGTTAATGTTGGTGATGAAACATCTATTTATAGCAGACTGCTAATGTACCAGGAGAGTCTCACTACGCTAAAAGACAAAGATTACTCCTTCTAGACTTTGTACTCCAACAACCCATACATCTTCCAGAGACGAAACCACGAGGTCAGTGACACAACTTCCAACGGGTTTTGACCGTTAGAGCAAAACGGCTTTCTCCACCCACCTGAGCCTGGACTATGAGACATGGCTAGTTAAAATAATATTAAAAGCAGTAAACCATTTTCATAGCTTTTAAGAAAACGATCAAGTTGAGCCAACAGTTGGAAGAATTCAGACTTGTAGTTAGTGACCTAGTGAAATTCTGAGACAAGCATCTGAGAGGGAAGGCTTTAAAGAGGTCCATCAGAAGATGGAATGAAAACAAGCACTGTGACTGTACGGCTTATTTTGCAAAGACTACAGTAACGTTGAATTTCTCTCTTCAAATGACATTTCGATCTACTTCCCACATTTTATCTGGTTTTGTTTTCTTTTTAAAAAAGGATCTAGTTTAAATAGAGAATAAGAGAGATCACAGAGGTGCACGGAATAGCTAAACGCAAGGCCACTGTGTTTATATAGAGTAAAACATCACAAGGATTTGAATAAAAAATTCACTAAGTACAAAGTACAGTTTGTTAATCTCAACTTATTTGCTTGTGCCATTCCAATCATCTTCAACTATAGAATCATAGAATCATACAATGTTAGGGGTTGGAAGGGACCATATGCTACTCTTACTAGTCAATAACTCATATCTGCATTAGCAGCATGCATATATGAATAGAACTAGATGAGAGTTTTAAATAAAATGAGTCCTAATGCTCATTTTGCAAAATTAGATCTGTCATACATTTTTTAAGAATTCACCTACAGGACTCTAAGGGCTCAAACGAAAGAAAGGATTTTCTTTTTCAAAGATTTTAACTGTTTGGAAATTGTTATTCTAAGCTGACATTTTATTTAAATGTCATATTCAGCAATTATGAAAGAAGTTTCATCCCATATTTCCACTAAAAATCACCATTTTTGTCTCAGACTCTTCCTAACAACCACACTTTGTGCTTCTGACATATTGGGGAAAAGGGATTGACAATGGCATTTCATATCGAATACATCACATGCTGGCTTAATCATGGATAAACAAATCTTCTGCCAACTAAAACATTAAAACAGGATACAAGGTGTTGGCAAAGAGTAAAACTGAAATGTATGTCTAATTAATTGATTTTTAACAAAATGCTTGCAAAACAATTCCAGTTAATTAGAGTGTGCTAGAACTATTTTTTTTATCAATCTCAAGTCTTGTGAGTCTAATAAGTATGTCTCTACACTGTAACACTTGTATCACTATACCAGATGCATCCTCAGAAATGATGGTTTCTTCTTAAATCATGCAATCCCAGGCATGCTCTGAGGAGAAGAAACAGAAAAATGGAATTGCTTCTGGCAAGGTTAACCTGTTCAGGTGGCGTTAGGACAAATATCTTTGAAGACAAAGTTTCTGAAATGAAACTTACAGAAAGAATTTCATTCTAGAGAAAAAACAAAGGGGCTTCTAATCTTTGGTAAGAATTTTAAATTTTGGCTTAAAAACTAAAATGAAAATGCTTTAAAAAATAATCTCAAATGATTCAAATTAAGCTTTTAATGTGAAATTGTAAAAGCAATATCCATCATTTAAAACTGTATGACATTTAAGCAAATCTTTATTTGACCATTAGACTAAGGCCATTTAGTTTTCGATATCTACAGGTAAATATTCCACTTCATTTCTTACCTTAGGACACATAAAAGTACACCACTGATAATACAGTGTGTACATTAATCCGCAAACCACCAAGACCTGCCATCTGGAGAGCTAATGAACAATCAAGGGATCCCGAATTAAACTACAAAATTTTCCCTTAGAATCTTTAGGACAACACTGTCAAGTTCAATCTATTCACTTAGCCTCCAGAATCAATTTTTCAAACTTTATGACAGGTCTAATGGTTTCCACCTGTTTCTATTGCTTGACTTTTGACTGGCACGTTACCAGCCAGGGTGGAAATGCAGACAAAGACCCCTATTAGGCTCCGGCTGTTTCTCTACTGTGAGGTTGCTCAGCCATTAAATTAGTTCCAGCCCACTTTCTCTTTCCACATCTTCAATTTTGGGGGGTAGAAACGTTTGGGGAAGTAGAAAGGAAGAGAAACGAAAGTTAGACATTCAGTTGGTGGGAAAGGTATAAGAAAATCTGAAGTCAGGAAAGTTAAATGCTAAATATATTTATAATTTACTAACTAAATTTACCACTAATCACACCGAATAAGCTCTTGAGGTGTCTGTATCATATCTTCAACCACCACAAACTTGGTAAAATTTTAGAGATCCTAAAGGAGCCTGTCAAGTAACAAGTGCTTGCTTATTACAATACATGATTACAGAAACATGGTATTGCAATTTTTTTCTGAGAATCATGAATGATAAACAGGTATCTGTTGTTCAAGCAAAGAAAATATTTTTTCCTGAGATATGTTTTCCTTTTATTCAGAATCAGCAATTAGAAAAATGTGTCATACACATATCCTAAACAAATTCACACTGGTCCATTTAGAAGTATCGTAAAAACCTGACAACTTCTTTCTTCACCAAAAGTTACCTAACACGTATCTGTGTCAATTTCTAGTGATTTATGAAATGTTATCACCTGTGCAGTCTCAAGGTACTTTGCTGAACTGCAAATCACATGGACTACATTACTCTATTACCCATGACGACAAGGTATTTACAATAACATCAACCATAATACTTAAACCAAAAATTTTAAGTTATTAAAACAAAGGCCCTTCTATAAGATAAATCTAATTGTTCAAACTATAATCTGACTATGATCATCTTCCAGTATAAGATGCTTAGAGCCAGGACTCCTACTTTACATCTCACCTGAAAACCTAATACTTGAGCTGCCTCATGATGGGGAGAATCTTGAAGACCTACATCTGTAAACACTTTATTACATTTGGACTACTTAATGTAAAAAAGCAACCTGAGTGCTGACCACTCTGCTGATACTGCACTTTAAAGACAAGAGAGTAAATGTTGCAACAGTCATTGAAAAACCAAGACTATTTCTCCTACCTCCCTTGCCTTTCTTGTTATTATAATCATATATAAAGTGTCCAGATATGATACTACTTAACTTGTGGTATCTAAATAAATTCAGAAAACTCTGAATTACATACTTTATCTTACTGAGATGTGTGAATGATGTTACTGAGAACCACCACCAAAAACAACCGTCACAGAAGAAAGGTCTTGACATATTAAATTATCACTTTGTTGGTTTCTTCACAGTACTTTTGCTTTCAATCCAGTGGGCTGAACACACTGTGAATACTAAAAATTAAGGAGTAAATGTTACAAATGCTTCTATAAAATAACTCTTCTTTGTGGCCTCTGTCCACGCATGTCTGCCTACGCCTATTGCAAAATCAGCTGCAGGACAAGGGCGCATATCTGGGGGACAGGCAGTGGCAAAATTATGTAGCAATTTTTTATTTTTAAATGTGTGCGCACATAATATGCACACACCAAGAACAGTTTGGAATTAAAAAAAAAAATCTATTTGATTCAAACTGTCTCTAAATTGCAACACTTTAGTAAAAATTATCATTTGTAAAGTCTATCACAGTGTTAACTGTAAGACTACAAACTGATTTACTTTAATACTGTTCTAATGCATCCTCATTTACAGATTTTGCATGCATCTATTCTAAAACAAATCACCTTTATTACTTGCAAGAAGGCATATTCTGTAACTTATACTGGTCTCACAATTCAGGCTCTTTAGCTGAGAACTAAAGCTATTATTGCTGGTTAACTAATCAGTTCCGATAACATTCAACATGATTTAACTGATCACACTGATTAAAAAAAAATCCAAAACGACATTCCTGAGGTTATTTCCAACAGCAAAACTCATCTGCAATTTCTGCAGCTAAATTAATGCTGCTCCTTAAAAGTAGCTGCCAAGAAAAGTTATAGCTACAGGTATACACATACATAGAAAAATCTGTCCTGAAGAGCAAGAACTTCTCAAACAGTTTTTTTCCACCTGAATACTTCATGGAACATAACAGTATAGTCTTTGTACAAGACTCCAATCTACGATTTAGGAACTGTGATTTTCATACTGCTTAATCCCATTCAAAACTCTAACGAACTACCTTCTCCAAGTTATCCCACAGCTCGTTCACAAGGGTCATCCACGTGATGATGAAAGAATGTCTAGCATAACCCTAACCAACGTTTTTTGAAGCACAAACAAAACACTAAAGAGCATATTAGTGAAATATTCAGTAAAAGGAATGAGAGAAAACAGTAATGTTAAAATTAAGGCCACAATCTACTTGCATTACTGTTGTCAGCTTAAAAATAGCTTGTACCATAAAATGCATATAATCTCTTAAATATGCATATAAAGTATCTTAAACTTTCCTATGGTGATATTGAAGCTTTGAAAGAGGAATAATGATAAAATGTCACTGCCAAGCAAAAAGTTGTCACACTCAGATTTTTCCCACCCTTTATGGCTTAGTATTTTATACATTATCAGAAAATATTCTGTGAAAACAAAGGTCTCTATTTTATGTCCTATCAAGAAGTTAATCAACTTAGTTTTTTACTTTAGTTAGCTTGTGGGCACCAAATGAACCAAAGAGAAAAAGGTTTCTTTCTGAACACTGCGTGTTACTATAATTGTGAACTCCAGATCAGAAAGCTTATTCATTATGGTCTAGATCTGTATCTTACCCATCTAGAAGATTCATTGTTGTTGTGGTAACTTCAGCAAAAAGAACAATCTTTCCAAGCTTCTTTGTTTGAAGATTGTGTTGATATGTCTTCAGGCTGAAATGTTCTGATGAGAAGCTTCCTATCTCAGTGATGACTGGCATGAGAGATGGAGTTATCTCCATTTTTGATTCATGGGATGAAACAAACTTAAGAGACACTTTGCTGGATGCTCTTAATCCTTCAGCATCTACATTTCCCTCGAGCCATTTCAGAAAAGCAAGATGGATTTCCTACAGCCAAGGAAAATAAAATAAGGCATAAAAATACAGACTACCACATGTGAAGACAAACATTCCTTCAAGAACATTTTTATTGAAGCAATCATCTTCTACTTCAGACCAGGAAAATTAACTCAATTTCCTCTTGAAAGATCAATTTCTGCTGCTTGTTCTAGTCTAGCCTGGCCTGACTACTTGGTGCTGTCTTCCTAGACTTTGAGACCATGCTATTTTGCAAATTAATTAGGCTTAATCTTTCCCCATAGCAGGGTTTGTAGTGGTTCTCCTAGATAATGAAGCACCGAGTGCACACATCTGTCTGTGATCACCAAGCTAAATTTCTTTCCTGAAAGCCCTTTGGTCCATCTGTAAGACTCAGTCTGAAGGATAAAGCAGCAGTTAAGAAAAACATTCATTGATTTCTCAGCAGAATACCTGCTAAAAGGGCTCATACCTTCAGCTAATGGAAGTTTCACTACGATCACCTTAAATACAGACCAAACTGGCTGTAATTAGCTAACTATAAAAGAAGCATGTAACTCATAAAATTAGAAAACTCTACTGTGTATGAAATGCAGTTGTATGTATACTCTGTTGTCCTGTTCCAGTCCATGCCACACCTAGCACACATTTCAGTGTGAATGATATTAAATTATACATATGCATACATATTTTATGTATCTACACACCAAAACTTTGATTTTTCTTTCCCTTATTTTAGAAACTTAAAAATACATTTTTTTGAACATGTAATGAAGAGATTAATCACTGAGATTACTATCTGTCTGGTGAAACCATGAAACAAGCGTTAGACATTCATAGAACTCTTTCTGGAGAGATTTAATTCTATTTTGAGAAATTTGGCATGAAACGTTTGCCATGTCTTTAGAAATCAGAAGTTAACAGCCCACAAACACTGATTCTAAGTGTGCAGCTTAAATTTTGAAGAGGTCTCCTAGAGTCAGTAGTCTTTTATATGATATACAATATATGAAACTACAAAAATTGAAAACAATGTACTAGTGATTCTTGCACTCAAATTTTTAAAAGGCAGACATTTGACTTATAAATAAAAAACTTCTGATCAAATAAACGCACCTTCGTCCCATTACTGCTATATTTGGGAACCAGAAAACGAGTGTTTTCAGTGCTGAAGGCAAGACTAAGCTCTCCTGCCCTTGAATGAGATGTTTCTGCTCCAATCCACAAACCACAATTAAGAGTAAACTTCCTATAAATAGTTATCGATCCAAGGAACCACTCCAATTTTCTAAATCCCATTGTTATATCTTAAAAAGAAATGAGAAAAGTGGTTGTAGTCCTGTTCCTAACACCTTGCTATAGATTTTCCATCCTCAGAAATAACACATTCTCAAGTTTCACGCAGATACTGCTTCTTGCATGACGTTCTTTGTAGGCGGAACTTCAGCACGCTTACTCTATTACGCCCTGTAGTGCGGCTAGCAGAGCGTAACACGAAGAAAGGACGAGTCTCTTTCCAAGTGCAATTGGGCACTAACTTCTAGAGCCAAGAATGATCTAAGAGCGATTCAGTAGCTAAATTTTAGTTACAGAGAAATTACTTCTCATTTCTTGGTTTTCTAAAGATACATCTGAACTCATTCCATCTAAGTTCTTGGATAAAATATGCCATAAATATTTTCTTACTTTCTTTTTTTGGCATATGCACCATACATGATGACGTGGCATTAAAGGTTTTATGTGCATTTCTTTGACTTGATCCACACGAAGCACGTGCATCTTCACTTAGTGTAATATCATAGCTTTGACAGACTGCTGCTAAATTCTTTACACAGTATCCTACTTGTTTTACACACACACACACACACAGAGTAACTTATTAGCTGTAACTGATATTAAGAAAAATTACAGGTTTCATACTTGTCAGGAAGTACACGGGAAAAATATGTTTAATGAGAAAGTGCATTATTCTATTGCTTTCCAAACACAGAAATTCACTTAGCCTAGTTGAGCGTGCAAGTCCTAGACAGAAAAACATAAATTTCAGCTCACATAAGGATGGGTTTTACAGACTTACAGAAACAGACATGTTAAAAAAATAAGTGCTTAAAGAAGTATTACATGCTAAATAAACAATGAAAATGCTTGATACTATGTGTCAAAAAGTCTGGTGCACTTTTGCCACAGCATGCTTTCTGAAAAGACTGAAATGGCATATATTTATGTGTGATGTTGCGTTATTACAAATATGCCACACAATTCCTACCATTCTTCCCCTTGAGTATTTTCTTTTAGGAATTTTTTTTCCTCATAGTTTTTACGTTTACTTCTTGATTCAATTTTCTTTTTTCCAATGCATACTGAAACATTTAAGAATTGTTACATATGTATAATTATGAAGCCAATTTTTGCCATAATGTACACTACACGTATATCGAGCTGATCGAAAATATAAACATGAGCAATACATAATCAAGAACAGCATTTGATATTTAAAAATTTCTTAAGAATATGTTACTACATTTTTGACAAAGCAAAGTTTCAAGTGCTGTCCAGGCATACGCTAGAAAGATTAATTTTCGCTGTTAAGAACCTCCTTCACACAAAGTTACAGAAACATGGATGCTGAACCACCGCATTTTGGTCCCCACAAATTACACTGGCACTAAGAGAAGTAGGTTTTTGTAAAGAAGTCAAGCTTAACCTCTGCTTCAACTCCATTTGAAAGGAATATAATCACACCAGAACCTGAACTGTGTGGTTTGTTGCTAAATTCAAGATTGAGCTTTGAGTTCAAAACCAATCCCGAGGCGAGTCCGCCGCTCTGCAGCGACCTCTGGTGGCCGTTCCAGTGCAAAGGGGGGGGCCAGGAACTGGCTGGCCCCTCTCCACTGCTGGGACCAGACCGGGCGCGCTAAGCAAGGCACCCACCTGGGAATACCCCAACTCCCAGCCAGTGCTTACCCTGACCACTATCAAAATCCTAAACCATGCAGGTACAAGCTGTAAGTGAGTATCAAAAAAGCTGCAGCTGCTACATATTCAGGCTCCAACATCAGTATCTGTAGCTACTTACACATGTAATCATACTAAAATCTGTATTACGCATATTATCAGTAACATAGCTTGTAAATATAATAACTACATTTATTTTAGGGTGGCATAGACATATTCTGAAATTGTTATTAATTATTACTGCCTCAGTTTTGGATAGAGTTTGAACTTCAATTTCAGGAGAACTGAAGCCAAGCCAAATTTAATTTCCTATGTATGTACATTAATTTCCTATGTACACTTTATATGTACATTATGAATGAAATCTGACACGTCAACCAAACAATCTGTCACCAGGAGAGCTGATCAGCTATCCACAAAATAACTAAAAAATTAATACGTATGAGAAAAAATTTATATTTGTATTTTCTATTTGAGACAGGGACCTACTGGAGAGTCCAAGGGAGAGCTACGAGGATGATTAAGGGACTTGAACATCTCTTCTGTGAAGAGAGACTGAGAGAACTGGGGCTGTTCAGTCTTGAGAGGAGACAGCTGAGAGGGGACCTTATTAATGAGTATAAATATCTGAGGAGTGGGTGTCAAGAGGAAGAGGACAATCTCTTCTCAGTGGTGCCCAGCAATAGAACAAGAAATAATGGGTTTAAGTTAGAACATAGGAAGTTCCACCTCAACATGAGGAGAAACTTCTGATGGAGCCCTGGCACAGGCTGCCCAGAGAGGTTGTGGAGTCTCCTTCTCTGGAGACTGTCAAAACCCGCCTGGATGTGTTCCTGTGTGGCTGCCCTAGGGTATCCTGCTCTGGCAGGGGGGCTGGACTAAATGATCTCTAGAGGTCCCTTCCAACCCAAAACATTCTATGATTCTATGATTTTTAAATGGCAAAAGCACAACGTATTTTCAATGCAATGTAAAAATCAATTAGCAAAAGCAGAAAAGCAATATACCAACAGGAACCACCCACCGCTTCTCACTAACAAACTTTCCTCCAGCATTCCAAAGCACAATGTAAATCCTCCCACAGGAGCATGGAGAGACAGAAAATTTCAAAGCAGTGACAGCCTCACCAATCTGGCACCTAGGGACAAACAGATCAACCACAAGAATTATGGCTGTCAGACTGAACATGTCACTTAATGAAAAGTTGTTCTGAGCCAGTAGGGAGAAATAGGGGATGCTAATTCACAAAATTCATAGAAACAGAGAGTTAAGGCACTGCATACCACATACCCCCATACCCTACGTACCCTCAGCTGTGTGATTATTAAGGTTTATTAAGGGTTACTGTATGAAGGACGGGAGGTCTGACGTTGCAAGCTGTTGAACTAAAGTTTAAATGGTAACTGTAACATAAAAAAGGAAGAGTAAAATCTGTACTTTGTTTATGATTTAACATCTGTTTTCTATGATTTTAAGAGTTTGGTCAGGTGTGTGAAGAAAATGCTATGTAACGGAAGTTTGGTTTTGCTGTTTAAAATTCTCTTTATTTTCATAATCATTAGTTTCAATTTTTCCTAATGCTTACTTAGCAGTTGAGATTGAACAAAAAGGAGAAAAGAGGGAGACGTAAGAGACAAAAACCAGCTGCATATGGACCCTTCTCTGTTGTAGTATAAAATAACAGAAAATTACAGCTCCTGACGGAGAAGGTTTTATTTGCACCTGGGCTCTATCAACCAATGAGACTTACGCAAGAAGCACATAAACTCTCAGTTATAATGGTTCAAGATAATCCCAAATTTAAGACTTTATTCTTACATTCTATTTCTACAGATATAGAATTTTTATATATTTTCTTAGCTCTTATATATATGTTCATACACATACACAAATGTAAGGAAATATCTCTCTTACTGGGCATATTTGGGAGCTGCCCTTTTCTACCAAACTCTGTGACGATAGGTCTTAAACTCTGTGTCAATGGAATTCTTTGTTAAGACAAAATTCGGTCACAGCCTAAATTTGGCTTTTATTAAAAACACAGAGTCAAGACTAAATGAAAGCTAAAAATATAA